AATTACAGGCCTCTCTCATCTTTTTAAGTGGGAGAACTTGCACAATTGGTGGCTGACTAAATACTTTTTTACCCCACTGTATCTCTAGGATGTCACTTGCCATTGGTGTTTTATAGAAGTTTTGGCAGTATTTCATTTCATTCAGTGTTTGTTTTTTTTTAATTGTCTGACCTGATCCTGATGTCCTGCAGATATGAGGAATTGGGATAGTCCCCATAACCCAAGCTGTGGTAACTCTGAATATTTTATATTCATTTTTTATAGAGTTACCTTATGCATCTTAACTTTCTTTTTTCCCTTTTCCTTGCAGATTTCCACAAGACAGCGCCCTATGTGGTCACTGGCAGCGTAGATCAAACAGTAAAAGTGTGGGAGTGCCGTTGATTGAATTTACATCTGACCCCCTCCCCTTCCTCTCCCTCTGGATGCACTCGGATACCATGGTTACCCACTGAGCTCTGTTTAAAATAAATATTGTCCTTTCATGTAAATTATTCTGGATGTAGATTGAGCTTATTAAATGTTACACACAAAGTATTCATGCATGGTGAATCCAAATTGTATACTGTAAATTTACATACGTTGTCTAGAAGTACCATAGGTTTCAGAATTTGGGCTGGTATTGGTCACATCAGACCTAAGAAGGCAGAAGCTGGTTGGTTGAATTAGGGGCACTTAAACTGGTGACAGCAAAATCATTCTGTGCTGGATAAGCTGAATCCCCAACTCTACTGTTGGTGGTGCCTATTACTAAGTGACTCATATGGGGTTCTTTTTCCGGGGGGTGGGGGAGGGTTCTTTCAGAAACACGTATCTCTGTAACATCACTTAAGTATGCTTAAGAAATCTAAGGATACTAGATTTAAAAAAAGCTGCAATTTAGAATCTTAAATGTAATTAATGGAAACAAATAAAATTTCTGGTTTTTTTTCTGTCATGGTATTTGCCAAATCAATAGGATATATTTTTATTTTGGTTTCCTATCACGTTTTAAAAAAAAGAAGAAAAAAGTTAGTATGTTCATACTAACAAGCTGCAATATAGGAAGAGAACCTTGGTATGATGTGTGTGTATTTTTTTTTTCTTCATTTGGTTGTTGGACTTCCTTGCGTTCTAACATTTGATGCTTCACGCAAAACCTGTTGTAGGAGGCTGCCAGTCTTGCTCTCACTTAGCTACCACTTGGAGCAGTTAGATGTAAATCTCCCAGTTGACTCCTGAGGGTTCAGCCATGTCTTTCTGTTGGCTTCAATTATGGTTTTAGGTTTGTGCAAAGCCAACAGTATGGAAAGCCGTCACCTCTCTCCCCACCTCCCCCCCCAAAAACACCTGCTGGGTGTATATTAAGTGGGACAGTTCTGCACCCCCCTCCTTTTCCAGTTAGTAACTTCTCAAAGCAAGTGATCACAGATTTCTGAACGTTTTGTGGAGAACGTAGCAAGCTCTACTACAAAAAGAAATTACAGCAAATGAAAAAGGGCTATATGCTAACCGATAGCTTGCAAGCTTCTAGATGATTTCACAACCACATTTTCTTCCTTAAAGCCCCTCAACCTACTCTTCTTGAGGAAATGCAAGCTGCAGTATCTTATTTCAGTGTGGAAAAATTTGAAGAAAAGCCCTAATTGTCCCCAATGCCGATCTGAAGTAATAGATGCACTGACCCCATTTATCAGCATTATGGGTCAACTCCTGTTTTACACCATAAAGTCCAATCTTAACTAATCAGGCGTATCTTTTTTTCCCCCCAAATCCACTTCATATTAATGGAACAAGCTGCCAATTGGACATTTTTTTTATAATATTTTTATTAGCCAATTGGACATCTTTTAACAGACAAAGGTATTTGCTTTTATTTGTTCTGTGGCTTTTAACAAACAAACAAAAAGCAAAACAATGTGTCCCTTTAAAAAAAGTAACACGCTTTTGGAGGATTGAAATGCATGTCAAGAGAAAGAAGGCAAGATCATACAGACACACGTTGGTTTACCCTATTGATTTTTTTTTTTTTTTTAATGTTGGGGGCATTTGGGTTTCTTACCCAGGAACTAGGAGACCAAAGGCAGTTTGAGGGTAGAGGCCAGGCTGGAGTGCTCTGTCTCTGGAGACTTCAGTGACATTTTATGATCAGTAAGAACTTTCTGCGATTGGACCTTGGATGTTGGAGGCCTTCTACTTTAAAGTGATGGCTACTTTGAAGTGTTTTTTGAGCACGTAACAATACCTGTTAGCAGCTGAAAAGTAGTTCTTGGCCCAATGTAGTGATTCTTAAGATTTTTTTAAAAGTTAAAGTATGTATGTATTTGCATAATCAGTGAAACAAGGGTATCTTACTAATGGGAGCTTACCACTGTTGTTTTTTTTTTCCGTTGAAACAGCAAGCAGGGATTGAAGCAAACTTGTTCTTTCTTCAATTAGTTTGGGGAAAAAGAACTTGCTTCAAAGAAGCTAGAACTTGCAAATTTGCCACTTAATTGGTAGTCCATCTACAGTAAGCAGTGAATTCTCAGGGATGGTTGTGGGTTTAACTAGCTGTTAAAGCCACATTTTAAACACAAAACTAAACGGGAAAGAAGTTCACTGTTGAAGCATTTGGTTATTCAAAAATGGGCAAAGTGGCTAAAAAGCACCAGATTTCTATACAGACAGTTCTCCGTGTCTGTTCAGTTGCAGGCAGTTTCTCTTGAACCATTCCAGAACTGCATGAGCTGAGACTGTGCCCGGGAAAAGTCCTAGATCCATCTCCCCCACCCCACTTTTTGGTTCTTTTATCTGAAAAAAGTGCAACTTTTTTTTTTTTTGGGGTAGTTGGAACACAATCCAAAAACTTAACTCTTGGAGCAACCTGCACTTTACATTTTTTTGTTTTAAAAGCCGTCCTGCTTTTGTGTGTGGTGTGACCAATGATGTGCCCAGAGCACTAATAATGAAAAATTTAAAAAAACACAAAAACAAAAGACTAGTTGCTAGCAAGTTGTCAAGAGCTGTGGAGCACTGTAGTATTTTGAAAGCTTTGGCGATTGCTTCACTGCCCCTGGCCCAGCTCCCTTGAATCTGTTTCCAGGTCTGTCCTGTCAGCTGCTCTTTCTGTTTGCCTCTTACCTTCCTTTATGTCAGTTGAACAGTTGGTCAAATTATTCTTAAATGGCCTTTTCTCTTTCCCCTCTTTGCCTGATCCCATTATTCCACTGCCCAGTCCATGAAAGCTATTTAAAATGATAATGTTTTGCGTGGGTTTCACACACAGTTGTGACTTGGAAATCCTGAAATGAGGTTTGGAATGCAAAATGGACAGAATTGGAAAGGAAATGGATCCTCTTTTATGATTTCACAGTTACGTATTTTTTTAAAAATGCCCAGGGTACTAGCTACTACAAATCTCTCTCGATGATGGTGTATAAAGTTAGAAAAAGTGGTTGCGGAGAAAATGGGGTAAAGGTGATAAAAATGTTGAGTTGGATTTAGCAAGTCGCAACTGGATGTTAAGTGGGCTCCCCGTTCTTCCTTTTTTTCTCTGTCCCTATAACTGCTTTCTTGTCCTAAGCACATCCTTTGAATTTTCCAAAGTTCTTTCTGGCGGTAATTAGCAAAATTGTCGATGTTTTAGAAGTTTGATCCTGACACTGACAAGAAGACAAGAGTCTTTTTTTTTTTTTAATCCAGTAAGAGCGATGTAGAAATTGCTATTGGAGAACTTTTTTCCTCACCCCCAGAATGTAGGAGTTAACTGAAGATATTGACACAATTAAAATTAAAAAAAAAATCAGTAAAGGAATGTATATAATACTGCTCTGTGTTTTACAGTAAGATTTGTTGCTCTCAGACTGTGTAAAACAAAATTTATTCATGTTTTCTGCATATTAAAACAAAAATCTTATTGTACCAATTGGTAAACTATTAAATGAATATAAAACTAAATGTGTTTCTCTTTTGTTTAGGTGCAGAAAAGATTGGATGATTTTAGGATTTGCCCTCCGTGCATGCTGTTAGGGGAAAAGCAGATGTAAATGGTCTCAAGTTCAGTGTAGAGGAGGACAATATTGATCTGGTACCGTTAATACTGTAAGCTGTGTGGTTAGTCCAGTGGAGTAGAGGAGGTAATGCTGGGGCTTGGGACGGGGCTGATGAGTTTGTGCTGCACACACTTCCTTGCCACCAGGAGAGGAGTTCCCCTTCACTTACTGCTGTCATTTTTATTTACATTCTGCCCTTCGAGGGAGCCCAGAGTTGAGGGGAGCTGGAATGCCTTCTCTAGCATCAGGCATAAACATGGGCTTCATCTCTAGCAAGGGTGGAAAACAAGCCCACGTGCACCTTCCCTATTTGGGCTGCTGAAATTTGATTCTTCTGCAGAGAAAGGATTGAAATCACACATTAGGCCTTGGTGAAGATGACGGTATCGTCATCGTCATCCCACTTTTATATAGTAATTCTGCCTCCTATTTTCTTTACAACAACCCTGTGAGATGGGTTGGCTGAGAGAGAGGGACTGGCCCAAAGTCACCCAACCAGTTTTCATGTCAGGGAGGACTACAACTAGTCTCTAGCCCACCACCTTCACCACTAGGCTAAACTGCCTTTCAAGTGTGCCCAGATTGCTCCTTAAGCCCCCAGAAAGGCTAAGCATTTCAATCGTAGCTGTGATGTCCCTGGACATGTTCCTGCAACAGAATTGAGGGGTTATAATGATTAAGATGCTGGGCCAAGAGTATTTCAACTTTGGTTAGTAAAATACAGGTGTGAGCTGCTTGACAGTGCTTTGATGGTTACTTCAAGTTCACTCTCACCCATGGAAGTTACCTGAGTGATTTTGGCTCAGTCACTGGCCCAGCACAACAAGTATCGTGGTTGTGGGAGGAGATTGGGGAGACTGCTACCTTGAGCTCCTGGACAAAAAGCATCCTCATCAATCAATTATAAATAAATGGCCTCTCCCCAGATATAGTTGCTCAATCCAGGCTCCACCACTACCAGGTTAGTGTTGATTCTGCAAAGAAAGTTCTGCATTTGTGTGTTCTGTCTGCAGATGATTGCCACAGTGGGTGAATGGCTATAGTAGGACCATGTTCCATGCTAGGGATGGGGAAGTCAACATGTCTCTTACATGGATGAGAAAGGGGCTTAGAAAGTGGTCTCCCTGAAGGCTGAGCAGTCAATTTGGGGTCCACCAGATTTTTCATTATGAAATTTTTTATTGCAAGGAGCAGTGATGTTGACTGGCTTAGATGCTTTAAAAGGGAACTGGAATCAGAGCCGCCTGGCCAGCGATGATATAGAATGGAATCAATTTGAGAGAATGACTTCAAACACAGATTCTTGTTGAGGGAAATGTGTGGATGTTATATATGAGAGAGATTGAGTGGCGGTTGCCTCCAGGCCATGATTGTTATTTGTCTATGGCCAAGTCTGTCAGACTTAGAGCAGCTTACAGCAATAGACGTAAAACAGCAAGAAAACATCCATGGTTAAAATGACACCATGCAAAACCATAAATCAAAAGGAAAGTGACTATACTTGATAATACCAGATGATAAGCAATTGGCTAATAAAAAGTGGTTACAGATGACACACTGTTGTTCTCCAAAGGTCCTCCAGGAGGGATCTTCACCCTCTGGGGACCAGCCTGGTGCCCAGAAGGAGACTGTTCTAGAGCATGGGGACCATAGTTTTTTCTGGATCCAATGCTACTCACCCGGCAAAATTAGGGTACGTTACACAGCTGCTTCTGGGAGGAATTTCTTGGACAAAACTGGAGGAGGCAGTCCTGAAAATACCTAGGTGCCAAGCCATAGATGGGTTTTTAAGGGAAAACTAACTAACTGAACTGTGCCCAGAAACTTAGTTGAGAACCAATAGAGGCCTGCAGGATGGATGTAATAACTGAAGTAAGTAGTGCCAGTCAGTATGTGGACGGCTACATTTCGGAACAACTGTAAGGTCCAAGTGAATTTCAAAGGCTGCCCCACATAAATCACATTGCCGAAGACTGAGTGGTGAGAAAGGCGTGAGTCACTGTAGCCAAGTCTTCCCTGCTCCAGGAAAGGCTGCAGTGGGTGTGCCAGTTAAAACTGGGCAAAAGTGCTTCTGGCCATGACTTCCACTGCCCATCTAGGAATAGCTGTGACACTGGGAGACCCCCCCCCCCGCTAGTGCATACCTGCTCCCCTCAGGGGCAGTGCCATCTCCTCAAGAATCAGTGGGTCCTGCCCTGCAAAGGGCCCATGCTGGTTGGACCAGAGCAACTCACTCTCAGGATGAGCACCTACCTGCATGCCTTGGGCAGAGATAACTTGGGACAAGCTCATGGAGGCCGTGGTTTTCCAGCACCTGACCCCAAGGCATGGAGTTTGAAGTCACTCGATACCAGAAGGCATGGAACACCCAACACAAGCCCGGAGATCAGATTTAAGCGGTGCAAATGCTTTTGTTAACCACTGTTGGAAATGGCTAAAAGAGTTGGTCCCAGTGCTTAGATCATGGAGGGAACACACTGGTGGCTTGATGAGTTTGATGGTTAGGGATGGGCATGTTGGATGAATTGCACAGAAACACATTTATTTTAATTTTTTTATTAAATTTATATGCCGCCCATCTCCCCCAGAGGGTGACTCTGGGTGGCTTACATTATCCGGATGTGAAACAGATTTCTGAGAGTTTAATGGTTAGCAGGAATAAATGGAATTTATTTTGAATCCTAGTGGAAAGGCTCAGAGCTGCGATTTGACCTAAATTAAACTAACCCAAATGAACTATGGTGTTAATTGGAGCAGACACCATTTTATTAACCTAATTAGTACTGATTCTCCTCTGTATAGTTTCCCCCAATAAATTGGTTTTTCCTAGACATACTATCTTTGCCATAATTTTCTACATCAGGAAATAGTAACTTTTGATTACCACCAGTTTTATAAATAAGTTAACTCTCATTTTGTGATAACTGTTATTTCTGAACAAACCCCTTGGGTTGCTCAGTGCAGTAAGCAGGTTATATATCACTCTTCAAGATGTTGGCTTTCCTTGAGTTTTCCCCCACTAGGAATAATAAGCAAAGAACACATGGGAGCGACTGACTCTTACAAGTGCAATATAATCATTAAGACACCTAAATTCTTCCAAGAGGTGCCTTTCCATCTTGTAAAGTTGGTCTGCATGCAAGTGTTCTGATATTGCTTATTATATATAGCCCAGGTCCAACTATCTGATTTAAACACTTCTAGTTGCAACTGCATTTATTTATTTATTTAAATCAAATAAAAATAAAACTGCATGTCCTGAGAAGGTTGATTGTAATCAAAGAAATAAAATGCATGCAGCTGAAACCCTAGTGGAGGCAAGTTTGATAGGATTTCAAGTGATGGTGGGGTCAAATGTAAGAGAAAAAAATCTAAGCTTCACGCCCACCTAATGCAACTTGCAAATGCAGTCAAATACTTTATTCCTCTGTCCTGGAAGAAAATTAAAACAAATACCAAGTTTCCAGCCAGTTTGCAATTATGTGGAAAGAAAAGTCAGCCAATATTGGAAAATATTGCTAGACAAGCCCCCCTGCCCCCAATATTAAAGTTGCATTGAAATATTTCCAAAGATAAATCAAGGGTACACTTTCTCCCTCAAGCAAACCCTCATGGGAATTATTCAGAGGTTTGGGCCCTGCCATCTTTCTACAGCAACCAACATCATTTGCTGTTCTCTCATAAGCCCATCACGAACCCATAAGCGTGAAACAGGCAAAATGGCCATCTCAGCGCCTTCCACAGACTGTAAGAAGGAGATCCACACTCCCTC